ATAATACCCTAAAGATCTTAATAATCTTAACCCTAATAATCTTGTCAAACAGGTTTTGCATTAGAATCTGATTTTAAGAAAATATATGTAACATTGTCTTAATAAGATATTACAGCTAATATTGAGGTGGATTTAACCAGTAACAACAATGGTTGCATATTATCCCAGCAGAGGAAACTATCCTCTTATTATTGTCCTTATTTTCAGAGTAAAAGCAATTGAACAACTTCTCAGTTTCAGAGAATGTTGTCTGGTCCCAGTATTGGAAATGAAGCAGCTGTTTAGTTTTTCAGTGTTTAAATAAAAAATTATAAAAATAAGAATGTTTATGTTTCCTTCATTTAACACAAAGTCACTGACTTTTATTAAGCTGTTTGAAGATATTGTTAAAATTCTTTCAGCTCAATAAAGAATAGTTGAAGAATCTTAACTTAGTTAAATTTTTGGTTTTCTTTCTCATTTTAAGTTTTTTTATGCTGATTTTAAGAATTCCAACCAAACAAAACTTTTCTACCCCATTGGCAGATTATTTTTGCTCAATAAAAGAAAATGTGATTAAATTTAAGAATGTCTGTCTGTTCCTGCAGTGTTGAAATAATGAGGAGCAGGTTTCAGTTTAACAGGTTCAATTCAGAGACTTTTATCTTTAAGAAATAAACATGATGAATATAATCATCCTCTTTATCTCTAACTGCTCTGTTCCACTGTCACACTGACCTTCACTGGTAATATCTTCAGTGGGACATCATCGACAGTGTAAATGAATGGAAACATCCTCTCAGTGAAAGTGTGTGTGAAGGTGTGTATGTGTGTCTTAGTATCAGGATCAGAGAATGACAGCTTTCCTCTGTTCCAGTCCAGATTCACTCTGATCCTCTGGAGCTTCTTCTGAACTACAAGATCAGTTGGTGGAGCTGATGGTGACTGTGCTGAGTATTTACCTTCATACAACCATATTACCCATAATCCAGACAGTTCGTCTCCCTTCCTCTGGACAGACTCTGCTAACACACCAAGAAACCAGAATGTACTGTCTCCAACCTCGACATCCCAGCTGTGAGTCCCTGAGTTAAAGCCCTCTGAGCCCAGAACAGAGCAGTCATGATCAAACCTCTCTGGATTATCAGGAAGCTGCTGTTCATCTCCTCGTCTCACACTGGTCAGATCTTCAGACAGGATGAGTTTTGGATGAGCAGTGTTTGGATCCAGAATCACAGGACTGTATGAGACCATGTCCTTCATCTTGTTCCAGATGTTGAAGGTCAGGTTGCCCAGGTGTTTGGCCTCGTCTATCAGAGCTCCTGAGGGCAGCTGTGGATCCTCCAGCAGGGGGCGCTGCTGGACTCTTTGCACTGCAGCCTTGTAGTTGTTCAGGAATGAGACGTCTTCAGCTCTCAGCTCCTCCTCTGTGGCTCTGACTGTGTCTGACAGAGCTGCTATCTCTCTGCTCAGAGCCTCCATCTTCTCCTTCATCATCTGACTCTTCTGCTCCTCTTCCTCCCTCAGTGCAGCCAGCCTGACCTCCTCTTCCTCTTCTAGAAATTGGTGAAGCTTCTTAAACTGCTCCTTAATCTGCCTCTCTGTGCGTCGGGCCTGGACCTTCATGTGTTCTGCTGTTTGATCAAACTTCACTTTAACTCCTTCACAAACCTTTAACTTCTCCTTTAAGGGCTCCAGAATTTCCTCAAGTTCCTTCTTGTGATGTCGTGCAGCTTCATCGATGGGTCTGAATCTGTGGTTGGAGTGTTTTTCTGAATCTCTGCAGACGACACACACTGGCTGCTGATGGTCCAGACAGAAGAGTTTGAGTTTCTCAGAGTGCAGACTGCAGAGAGCCTCTGAAGATCTCTGATCGCTCTCCTGTAAGAAACTCTCACACAGGTTCTTTAAAGTCAGATTACAGGGTGGTTCTTTCCTCGAAGATCTTCTCTTACAAACTGGACACTCACATGTTTGTTTCTCTGTCCACCAGCTCTTCAGACAGTCTTTACAGAAGCTGTGGCTGCATGACAGAACAACAGGATCTCTAAAGACATCATGACAGATCGGACAGCAGAGATCCTCCTCTAATCTGGAAGCCATTTTGTCTCTGAGTGCAGCTGGAAACAACAAACAGCACGTTAAACATGAACTCAGGTATGTTTCCACACCCTGCTGTAAAATGTTGCCTCAGTTACTTTCACTTTGAGTTTATAGTGTTTTTTTTAAGTCAGCAGCAGGTTGAACTACTTCAGTATACTTCAGTATACTTCAGTACTTCAGTACTACTGAGGGAGAACAGTAACTGTTCTCCCTCAGTTAAAGTCACAGCTTTGTAATGAAGGTAAATCTTACCGTCTGTCTCTCTGTTTGTGTGTCTCTCCTCAGTGAGAACTGAACAGAAACAACCTGTTTCTCGGTTGGTCTCAGGTGATGTCAGTATGGGGCGGAGTTTTGTCAGCTCATTGTTAAAGGGAAATATGATCCATCACACTGCTCTGAGATAACATCACAAAGAAAACACGACCAGAGAAAAATCTTACTCACTGATATTTCTGTTTTACTTTGTTTTAAGTGTCAGCCTACAGCTACATAGCAGGCCTCAGTCTGCAGTGTCTAGCATGGATTGATTTTATATAAGCAGAGGTTGGTGAGTGATGAAAGCTGCCATCATCTACACAACAACAATAGTCAGTTTCAACCGGTAGAGTGGGGTAACTATGCAGCTTTTATAGAAAAATATGTAAAATTCAAATGCTTCAGACTAATACGTCCAGATTTGGAGTTGAATTAATCAAGAACACTAATGAATACCCATACACAGAGGTTTTCAGCAGAAAAACGTGGTTTGGAGTTTAGTTACTCTTTACAGTGTACCTCTTCCTCGCCTCACTCAAGGAATGTTGTCCAGTAAGATACCTCACTCATGTTATCAGAGAATCAGTAAAGTTCTACTTCAAACAATCACTCGGTGTCTCACTGTGGGGATATACAGACTCCTGTGTTGCCAGACAAGCTCATCTTGAAGATCGACTGGCAACCATTAGGATGACGAATCGCGATCCCAGCAAAGTGACAACTAGTGCATAGAACCTTGCACAGGTATGAGGTGAAGCCAAACTGGCTGCTAAGCATATATCTTGGATAGACACACCTCAAAACAGGACCCAGGACATTGAAATCCCCCTAGAAGAGATCAGCTGGTGCCTGAAGTCCCTTGCTGCTGTAGGCCACAAAGATTGCCCCAAATAGCAATGAGAATGAACAACTGATCCTTTTCCAAAACCATCGTGTTGCCCCCTGTATGCCCACATAGATGCATAATGCATCCTCAGGATAATTTATGCATCTGTTCTAAGAAGGACACATGTCAAGGGAGGGACACACCAAAGTATAGTTCTTCGCTATAAAGACCGGATTACACCACACGTGCTTCTGCAGCAAATTGAAGACTGTCAGGGTCCACCGAAAATGCATGAATATTGCTGAACCACTTCAGAGATTCCAGTGCCAACAAAAGAGCAGTGTTAAGTGAGAGCACTTTCAGTTCTACCTGATCCAAGGGCTCAAATAGTGGGGTGAGACAGTGCATCCGAAACAGTTGATAGATCCCACGATGGGGCAATCTGTTTGAGCACTCTTCACAAAACAGCTTACAAGGGATGTTGTCCCAAAGCCTTACAATCAAAACCCACATGGCATGCAGCAATAGCAGCCAAGTAAAGTACCAACATGTTTTTATAAACAGTTTTGGCACCGGGGCATGTAACATTACAGTTGGCAACAGTTAGCTTCTTTTAGCAACAAGTCCATCTGGAAACTCCATAAATCATCTCGATACTTTCGTCACACTGTCCTCTGTCTGTCTCTGAGGTTGTGTTCATAAGGAGGCTGCTGAGTCCTGTTCATTTGAGGCTACTGGCAGCTAAATTAGCAGTTAGCTAACAGCAGCTAGATCAGAGAACGACAGCTTTCCTCTGTTCCAGTCCAGATTCACTCTGATCCTCTGGAGCTTCTTCTGAACTACGAGACCAATTGGTGGAGCTGTTGGTGACTGTGCTGAGTATTTACCTTCATACAACCATATTACCCATAATCCAGACTGTATGTTTCCCTTCCTCTGGACAGACTCTGCTAACACACCCAGAAACCAACCTCTACTGTCTCCAACCTCGACATCCCAGCTGTGAGTCCCTGAGTTAAAGCCCTCAGAGCCCAGAACAGACCGATGGAAATCAAACCATGTCCTTCATCTTGTTCCAGATGTTGAAGGTCAGGTTGCCCAGGTGTTTGGCCTCGTCTATCAGAGCTCCTGAGGGCAGCTGTGGATCCTCCAGCAGGGGGCGCTGCTGGACTCTTTCCACTGCAGCCTTGTAGTTGTTCAGGAATGAGACGTCTTCAGCTCTCAGCTCCTCCTCTGTGGCTCTGACTGTGTCTGAAAGAGCTGCTATCTCTCTGCTCAGAGCCTCCATCTTCTCCTTCATCATCTGACTCTTCTGCTCCTCTTCCTCCCTCAGTACAGCCAGCCTGGCCTCCTCTTCCTCTTCTAGAAACTGGTGAAGCTTCTTGAACTGCTTCTTAATCTGCCTCTGCCGCTGTTTGATCAAACTTCACTTTAACTCCTTCACAAACCGTTAACTTCTTCTTTAAGGGCTCCAGAGTTTCCTGAAGTTCCTTCTTGTGTTGTCGTGCAGCTTCATCGATGGGTCTGAATCTGTGGTTGGAGTGTTTTTCTGAATCTCTGCAGACGACACACACTGGCTGCTGATGGTCCAGACAGAAGAGTTTGAGTTTCTCAGAGTGCAGACTGCAGAGAGCCTCTGAAGATCTCTGATCTCTCTCCTGTAAGAAACTCTCACACAGGTTCTTTAAAGTCAGATTACAGGGTGGTTCTTCCCTTGAAGATCGTCTCTTACAAACTGGACACTCACGTGTTTGTTTCTCTGTCCACCAGCTCTTCAGACAGTCTTTACAGAAGCTGTGGCTGCATGACAGAACAACAGGATCTCTAAAGACATCATGACAGACCGGACAGCAGAGATCCTCCTCTAATCTGGAAGCCATTTTGTCAGGAACATCTGTTTCCTGGTTGGTCTCAGGTGATGTCAGTAAGGGGCGGAGTTTTGTCAGCTCACTGCTGTGTCTCATTTTAATCTTTTGTACTCATATTTCTGTGATTCCTTTTACTGACTGTTGAAGTGTCGGCCTACAGCTACATAGAAGGCCTCAGTCTGCAGTCTAGCATGGATTGGTTTTATATAAATTGGGCTTGGTGACTGACGAAAGCTGCCACCACATATGTCACCTGCCAGAAGGCTGCTTTCTTAAATAATATTTGAGTTCAATATTCTTTAACATGTTGTTGTTTGTTACTGTGCATTAAATGGTCTGTCTGTGCGTGGCGCCTAATTTTGATGTTTCATTCCGTTCATCGCAGCCAGCGACCGGCAAGGTCCCTATTGTTTTTGCTTGATTTCTTCTTCTTCTTACCTATTATTATTTTTAGCCCCCATTGACTGCATTTTTGCCCCCCTGAATATATACGAAAAGTCAATTTTATTTGGCAAAGTTGTCAGGCCTGGTGAAAATGGGGATATTCTATGGGTCGCTTTCGTGTTGGCCACTAGGTGGCGCTAGTATCATAAAAAATGCGTTTATGCTAATAACTTCTGCATAGTTTGTCGCACATTCAAAAACCTTATATCCACACGTTCGGTGAATGGAGCTGAATCTCCCCATATAGGCCACGCCCACTTCCGCCTATAATTTTTCTCCGCTAGAGCGCGAAATGTCCGTAAACTACTTGTTCTCCCCATGCGCTTTGTCCGATTCGCACAAAATTCTTCACGTATCATCTGAGGACCCTCATAATAAAAAAGTGATTAACAGAATTTTGATATTTCAAAAAACCAGCACGTTATAAAATTAGCACTTCCTGTGGATTTTTCGTCAAAAAAGGAAGTGGACCATTTCTACATTTTTACACCAAACTTGGGTCCATAGTTCCCCATGTCTTCCTTAAGCATCGTGCACAATTTCAGGCCATCGACACTAGGTGGCGCTCTTTAAAATGAAGAAGTTTATATCTCTACAACGGTATGTGTGATTAAGATGAAACTTGGTACGATGCTTCCCCATGGCTCCCTGAGGCTCCCTTAAAAAGGACAAAAAAAATACGCCACTAGGTGGCACTCTTTTGGCATGATAAATCACTGTGCGGAGACCATAATAGTTATGAATATGAAATTCACAAGGCACGTGTAGAGTAGTGCCTGAAGCTCACATACCAGAAATCGTGTTTGTCGTGTGTGTAGCGCCCCCTACAGGATAAAAAAACAGCAGCCCCGGTGCCACGTTTCACCGATATGTATGAAACTCCGTAGGCACATTCAACATGCCGTGACGTACAAAAAAGCCTCTTGGACCCATACCCGAAACCCCACAGGAAGTCGGCCATTTTGATTTTCATTTTCACTTTTCGCGTTGTATTTGAACGAACTCCTCCTAGGGAATATATCGGATATGCTTCAAAATTTGTGAGTACAGTCAAGAAATGGTTCTGATTAAAAGTTGTGCTATTTGTGCATGTACGTTGAAGGGCGTGTCCGTGGCGTGCCCTCAAAGTTGGCCATAGTGAATTCCGTGCACATTTTTGGTCAGGTTGAATCAAATGTCAAACTCTTGATGGCATTTCCGGCATTTTGCAATGATTTTCAGCGTTTTTTTGCGTTGTATTTGAACAAACTCCTCCTAGAGAATTTATCAGATCTGCTTCAAAACTAGTCAGTACAGTGAAAAAATGGTGCTGATTAAAAGTTGTGCTATTTGTGACTGTATGTTAAAGGGCGTGTCTGTGGCGTTCCCTCAAAGTTGGCCAGGTTGAATCGAATGTCAAGCTGTGATGCTATTTCCGGCGTTTAAGGGCTTCTGTTTTAACTAACTCCTCCTACAGATTTTATCAGATTGACTTCAAATTCGATCACTTCAATCTACACACATTGGTTATCAAAAGTTGTGCTATTTGTGACTGTATGTTTAACCGTGTGCCTGTGACGACGTGTCGAATTCAACCGATTGGCCATCAAACAGATAGTACTCATATCTTCAGTGGACAGTCCCACCCTGAACACGTCCTCATAACGTACATGATCCAATCTCAATGAAACTTCACGTGTTTGATAACAGTCCCATCCTGAACACGTCCTATAACGTACATGATCCAATCTCAATGAAACTTCACGTGTTTGATAACAGTCCCATCCTGAACACGTCCTCATAACGTACATGATCCAATCTCAATGAAACTTCACGTGTTTGATAACAGTCCCATCCTGAACACGTCCTCATAACGTACATGATCCAATCTCAATGAAACTTCACGTGTTTGATAACAGTCCCACCCTGAACACGTCTACATGACAATATTCAGACATAGTGATAGTGCCACATACTGGTAACAGGAAGTATCACGTTTTATACTTTCATGTTCTACTCCTCGCAGGATGATCAGATCCAGCTGAAATTTACTTATAAAATCCAAAACACATTGTTGATGATATGTGTTGACTGTGGTGAGGGGGCGTGTCTGTGGGGTGGCGGGAAATTTTGATGGACCGCCACAAAACACGAATTCGCTATAACTTGAGTGTACATTGTCCAATCGGCTCCACACTTCAAATGTTTGATCACAGTCCCGCCCTGAACACGTGTACATGACAATATTCAGACATAGTGATAGCGCCACCTACTGGCAACAGGAAGTAAGCGCTGTGTGGCGATTTTGAGCAGATTAACGGCAGATTTTCATGTTGTGGTCGGCACGTGTTACAACGGCAGGCGACGCGGCCGCAGCACGCCCCGAGTTGTGTGGAGTGCGAGGTCCTGCCCAACGCTGCTTGCAGCTTTAATTTTAATTGTTTTAGCCCCTCACTCAGATTATGTAAACCTGGGTGTGTAATTTGTTTGAAACTCAATTGTCTGTAGGACAATCTGTGAGCTATGACACTTAAAAGCTGGTTGACAGATGCAAATGCTTCCTTGTCAGTTACAATCGGTTCACACAACATGCAGCAAACTTTTGGCATCAAATCTATTTTTTAAAATGCAGCAGACGGTCACATCTACACTCATACAGCCAGTTATTTATGATCAGATTTGTTGTTGTGGTTAATTGTACATGCAAAAAACACTTATACTTTCTACTTTTAATGGGTTAATAGTTTAGAAGATGCATTTTCTGTAAAATAAATGTAATTCTACTTGATTTGAACTGTTATTGATGCTCCACTGAGGCTGTGGTGGAAATTATTTCTTAAAGACTGTGCACCGTGCAAACGTAATATCAGTGAAAGAAATGAAGTCGGTTATAGTACAAAATTGTTCTTTTAATAGAAAACCATTTTGACTCAACTCAGAAGTTCACAACGTCAAGCTGGTTTTACATAAATTGTTGAAGAAAAGTCTTGTTTTCTTGACATGGCTCCTCCCATCTTGTGCAAAATGCTGCTGGTCTCATGTGAATGAAGAACAAAAAAAAAAATCTACAGTGGGTTCTGCACAACAAACCAGATCTCTGCACGCTGGATAAAGCTTTTAAAGAGCGGGGGGTCACAAAGAAATCCAACTCTTCCCATCAAACCTCAGTTCCTGCATTCAATCAATGCCAGTCTGGTCGGTTCAATCTGGAACAACAAGCTAAAAAACAACGCAGCACCTGCACATTGTGCTTTCTGAGAACATTTCAAGGCAGTGATACCAGGTCAGATGGTGATTCAGAGTCAACAAAAACCAAGACATTTTCACAGGAGAGAAGAAACAAGAGTGGAGTAATCTGCAGCGAATCCATCCCCTTTGGTCTAACAAACTATAAAATAGGTTCTGATAACGTTTGTTTCTCCCCAATACAGATTCCTGAAGTTACCGGGTACCGGTCTTAATTGCTATCATTATTGTCTGGCCTGGCTCAGGCGATGACTCTATCCTAGTAGCAGGGTCCTGTTTTGGGGCTAATAAATTACACAGTAACAGGTCGATACTAACCGATAACAAACTCTGCTATAAAACGTCCCGGGTGGAGTTCAGCTACATTATTAGAGTCTTCTGTACATGACGGCCGGCACAGCAACAGGAAAAAAAAACCAAAACCAGAGAAAGTTCTTCAGTTCATGTTGATGGCTTCACCTGTGTACAGCTCCAGGCTCCGCCTCCTCTGAATGTAGGCTGCAGCTATTCATTATAATTCATTATCATTTTGTCAATTAATCATTTAGATGATAAATTAAGGGAAGATGCAGCAGTTCCCAGAGCCCTTGTGAGAGACCAGCAGTCCCCAAATCCCCAAAAGCTTCAGTACGATTTGAAACAAAAAGCAGCAAACGCCAAAGAAACTGGAACCAGCACCTGGAGAAACAGTTCAGATGTTTGATCTGTGACAGTTCAGACCACCCAAAGGACTGTTTCAGTACAAGTGAGAAATCAGAAGATCTACACTTCTAGACTTCAGCCTCAGAGATAACTCTAAATGAGTAGCACACAAAGACAATTGTGGATTTCAAAATGTGAAGTGGGACACGGTTTAATGTCCGTTTGTCGTCCGGGAGAAAAAACAACAAGTCCGTTTAAACGAAAGAAGAAGCAACGATGCGTCTTGGCGTTGGTGTGCTGGCAGTAGAGGTCGCTGTGAGAGAGGAGCTTCCAGATGAGTGTTTCTGAAGAGTAAAAAGATGTAGCACCAGCAGCAGGAACTGCACCAGAGGACAGCGTGTGGGTCCCAGGTGAGTCCTCCTGAGTTCTCTGCATGTGTAAACAGAAACTCAGTCACCCAAAACCTGATCCAGGATCCGATCGCAGCTGTCTGAGTGGGTTTGTGTTCGACTCAAGTCTTTAGAAAATTGAAGGATAGAATAAATATTCAGAGATATTGATGATCAGATGGAGAACCAGCAGTTGTGTGAGACTGTAGAGAGACCTGGACGCCTGATCAGAGACCTGGACGCCTGATCAGAGACCTTTTTAAAGATTTGTAGACCTAATTGGAAACCAGATTACACACCTGGAGATACCTAGAAAACCAGTAGGAGTCCTGGGCACCTTATCAGACACCTGGTCAAAAAATCTGTGACACTAATGTGGATGTAAACAAACTGGGTGATAAAGAAAACCTTTGGTGGAGTGTTGCTATATGTAGATGATGAACCCATTTGAGTTTGTTAACGAAACTACGGAGCGAGCACAAAGTGAATCTGAGCGGAGGCCAAACTGAAGGTCAGAGCGATTCCTCCTCTTTGTTTGACTACAGCGAGCAGCTGTTTTAGTTCAATGACTGAACCTTTTTAAGAATTAAACTGTATTTGTGGCTGTTTTGAAAAGATTTACATCTTGAGGAGGAACCAATCTGCTTGAAGCTGAGAGCCACAGACAGGAAGTGAGAGAAGCACAGACACTGCTCGTTATCTTTTGACAAAAGGAAAACTACAATATTGCTAGCTTCCTCTTTTGGGTCCATTCAGACTGGAGTTGTGCTTTCTCCGTAGTTTTGTTGTTAATAAACGTCTTGGGTTGGACGTGACAGGAAACGGTTGCAGCAGAGTGATCGACTGAGACATTAAACCCGGTTACATATCAGGACACTTGACACAGAACAACAAGAAAATGTTGTTTTTTTTGTTCAAGTTTTTCTAAACTCCTGTCTTTAGTTATGAAATGATAAACGCCTCTGACGCGTCTCTTCTATGTAAATGTGTAAAATCTTCCTCTTGTTTCCGAAGTAATCTGCCCTGTGAAACAGAATCCCTGCAGTAAACCTGTGTCTGTTCCTTTTGATAGATTCTGGCCTGAAGCCTCATTTTATAACCACAATCCTGTTTGGGGATCTTTGTGTGTCTCTGATTGACGGTCAGTTTGAAACCGAACCGGAGCCGCAGAGTTTCTGCTTGGTCGACCGTTCTATCGCAGCTCCTCCACCCTCTGCCTCTTCCTCCGCCTCTTCCTCCTCCTGCTGCTGCTCACTCTGCTGGTTTCCTTTCTCCAGGCAGCCGTTGTTAGTCTCATCACTACAGGGTTTATACTCCACCGGATCGAGATCTGGATCTGGATCTGGATCCAGCTCCGGCTGGGACTCCACGGCCGTCTCCCAGTCCTCCTCTTCCTCTTCCTCGTCGTCTTCCTCCCTGTCTTTCTGGCGGGCCTGGTTCTGGGTGAGGCGGAGGCGGGCCATGGCCTGGTCGATGGTCATCGTGCTGACCAAGTTGAAGTCGTGCATGCTGATGAGGTGCAGCAGGAAGTTGCGAAAGAGGTTGTGTTTGACGATGTGGGCGGCGTTGCGTTCGGCGAACAGCAGGCAGGCCTCGTTCATCTGGTTGTCCGCGATGAAGCTGGAAGGAGAGACAGGATGATTTAAAATGTCATGGACAATGATTTCTTAAAATAGTGGGAGCCCTGAATTTGTCCGATACGTTTTTTCCACAAGAAAGAGTTTCCTCATTAAAACCCTTAAAAAGTCGTCTACTATCCATGAATACAAACAAGAAGAAAAGCTGATGTATCTCGCTTTGAATGACAAGCGAACACGCCAGGAAACAACAAATATGACGATGAGATCGTTTCACTTGAAATATTCAAGATTTGATTCACACAAGTGACTGAGTGAATGAAAACACCAGATTATGTTGAAAAATCTATCTTTTTTCAATTCAAGCACTGTTCAAATGAACAATTAACAAAGAATTGTCAGAGATGCGTCACTTAATGTGTCGGGTCCATTTATTACTCCAATTACTGCACTTGTGCATCATTAGCTTGTGAAATAAAGCAGATTATAGCTGTTAACTGTGTGTCAGATATATTAAATTATCACAGATATTCTGTTCCTTGCCTTAACTTTAGGTTATTATTAATTATTCTGCAGTGTTTCTGACAATAACTCATCTTTGAGTTATTTAATTCCCGCCAGGGTAAACCAAATAAGATCTGATAAGTGGATTTGATAACACATTTGTATACAATAAGACCGCACTGAACCCTAACCCTACTTATACGCACCCGTGCTTCATGACGTGGAGGTTCCACAGCTTCATGATCTCCTTCTCCCCCTCGTTGACGTCAGTAAAGTCCTCGATTTGCTGCAGTGAGAGCAGAGCATTAGTATTAGCTAGCAAGGCAACATTAACTGCTTCTACTGCCCCAAACCTCATCAACCGGATCAACAGTCAAACAAAGAGCTGTTTTAACAACTGGAGCTACCTAACACTGACAAGTAAACTTCAGCGGCCCTTCACTCGTTCACCGGCTGTAAACTAACCTTGGCAGTCTTCTCTTTCAGCCAGTACGGGTCCCGCTCGTCTTCGCTGTCAACTTCCATCTCTTGAGGTCGCAGCGGCACACAGCTGTCGCTGTGGAAGTAGAGGCGGTTGTGTCCGCTGATGTGCGGCCTCTGCTGCTCCCGATCGCTGTCCTCTGGCTCCAGAAACTCAGACAGACTTGCCTTTGTCCTCTTAGGTCTGGAAAATATTAAGATTTCCAATGTGAACACAGCTCCCTCGAGAGTTATTGCCACCCTCTGACGGGTAAAGTGAGGATGTAGAAAAGCTCCAGAATCAGAGTGAAGAGATCATCAGCGGTACCTGCAGGTGAGAATGTGGGTGACGGCGGTCCTCTTCACCGGGCCGTTCCTGCTGAAGGCGAAGCCCGGCTGGTTGTGGATGTCCTGCGGGTTTCCTGCATATGAACCATCGTAACTCTCGTTGATGGAGACCTCGACTTTCGCTCCTTTAGGGTGGGGCTGCCAAACATCAGGAGAGGTTCGCAAGATCAGAACTGACAGCGACAACAACCTTTTTATTGCTTCATTTTTACTTTTTTTTAAAATCAGGATCTTTATGTCTGTCTCCCTCTCCCCCTCTCTCTCTCTCTCTCTCTCTCTCTCTTTCTCTTTCTCACCACATAGTTGAAGATGAAGCGGGAGTGAGACAGTTTGAGGTGTTTGAGCAGACTGTAGAGCTTCCTGCAGTTGAGGGTGCACCAGGGGCAGTGGAGGTCGTCTCTGGCCTCCGTCTGCTGCCGTGTGTTGTTGTTGTACTGGAACTGGACGGGAAGAACCAGAACAAAGGCTGAGATTGAAGCTCAGTGGTAATAACTCACATTGATATCAGACTGATAGAACAGGTTTGCTGTGCAGGCTGTCTGAGGAGAGACCGACCTGGTAGAAGATGCGCAGTTTCTGTCGGGGTTCAGCTGAGATTTGTTCTCTTCTCGTCTGCACGTCTGCATTTATGGATTCTTTAACAGCTGCAGCACAGAGGAGAAACACAACCATCACTCACTTTAAATAAAAGAAAAGCAGTTTCACCACCGACTGAATAATCTGAACACAATTTCAGCATCTGTTGCTGTTTCTCTGCTCACCCAGAGTGTGTGTGGCTCTCAGGGTGCTGGGTCTGGTGTCCTGGTTGGTCTCAGAGTTGCGGGTGGCCAGAGGTTTGGCCACAGGTGCAGTGGAGCAGTCAGAGGAGTCGCTGGTCCAACGCAGGGTGAACTGCAGGGTGGGACCCTGAGAGAAACTCTCAAACGGAGGCAAACGCTACAAAAAGAGAGCAGAGCGAGTTTAAAGCTCACTTATTATCAACCTGACAGACTTTTTACGGGTTTACATCCATCTACTGTCTCTGAGTGACACAACAAGTGAATAATACATTCCTGTTTAAATGTGTTTCATTCGATGATGCAGCCAGCTGAATGTTGGAAAAACCACCGAAGACGATTTTGGTGAGTTTAATTTAGTTTGAGTCCATTTTCAAGTGTTTTATGATTATCTGCTTGGTGGAATTACTGGTTTTGTGAATGGAGTCTGGTCAGCTGTTTTGTGAAGTTTGTATATCAATAACCTTTGACAAAGGAACCCCGGTGAATTTCACCGACTTGCTCTGCGTTTGAGGTCAGATCAGAATATTTTTATTTCTTTATAGAGTTAAAAAAATATTTAGTTTAAAAAGGAAAACTCTTCATCAGACAGATTTTATTGTTTTGGGTGACCTCAGCCTGATGATGACTCACAGAATTCAATAAATAAGACGTGTAAGAAACGAGGATTTAACTGCATGGTTTGGTGAAAACATCTCGCTTTTGAATTAATACGTTTCCCTCTCTCGCTCTCGCTCTCACCTTTCCATCCAGGATGGTCTCCCAGGTTGCCCTCTTCTTATTGACGGGACACTCCTCCATCTCTTGCATGGACACCTCATACTCGCCGTCTAACAGCTGCAGTCGTCTGCACACAAACATTTTCTCACTTGTTGATTCTGCAGCACTGAGTGTAACAGCAGTTTCTTCCTGTGTGTCAGCCTGTGACAGTTTGTGTGAGCCTCACCTGTTTTTATCAAAGACAGTCATCTGAGCCACAAATGTGGTTTCTCCCTCCTCTCTGAGAGAGGAGCTCCTCCTCTTCCTGTTTACCACTTCCTCTGCAAAATCTGAAACAGACGTAAATTACATTTAACCTTCTTTTCTAACACACAACACCGACAGAGAGGCTTCAGACTGATCGGTGCATCACAAAGAGCCAAACACACACAAATAAAGAATTTGGTTCATCACAACTTGGGTCTTATTTTTGCTGTTTTCACAGTTAATTACTGAGCTTAAAATATTGATGATATCAAGGAAAGTTGTAGCGGATTCTTGTGACATTGACGTGATGTAATCAGCCGGATAATGTCTGAACAATGTCGTCTCTGTTTGTGTTATTGGACAGTAGAAAACACAGTGTGCTCATGATCGTAGCATCATGTGTTACAGCATAATGTTTCCTACCCTTCACAAACAATCTTTGGTGAGTACAGACACTGAGCTGCAGAGGGCCGTTAACGGGACAAGAGTTTCATTTCCACCATTACTGAATTAAAAGTAAGTGGCAGTTAATTAGAGATGTCATGAGAACTGATACTTCGGTACCAAATCGATGCCAAGAACATTTTAAAAACGTACTAGTTTCTCTACAGGACCGTAAGTACCGTGGTTACCAGGGTAACAATTCTTCCCGACCAGGCGGAGCTTCTCTGGTTTATTTGACCAGCACGGACCAGTTGAAGCAACAGTGAACAGCAGAGTTCAATGGTTTAAAATAAAAAGGACTGTATGTTAAAGTACGTGGGATTTATTGTTTTGTTTTTGGTTTTTTTCCCGTTGTATCAAATTTCTATCGAGAGTCACAGAATTTCACTGATACTGTTATCGACTACTAAATCTCCGGTATCATTACATCCCTACAGTTAATCACAAATTTCCATCAAATGGCTTTAAAATCTGCACAGCTGCAACGCCCGCTGTCCTTAAACACCTGATTTACATGGAGGGAAAATCCCTTTAAGAGGCACAAAACAGGAGTAATGTCAGGATGGACCCAGATGAAATAGAGGTTGTGTTCAGAATACAACAGCCGCTCACCTCTGTTGTGGTGATTCTCTCCGTTAGCCAGGCCGTTGATCTGCGTTCGGGGGTAACCGGGCCTCGATACTCTGAAGAGTAGCGAGTAAGACTTGACCATGTGAGAGTTGCTGGGTTCAAACTCGCTGCTGGGAACCAGCAGAGTGGGGAAGGAGCCCGGCTTGGCCTGGACTCCAGCGCTCGCTTCTGGGTTCAGAGGAACCTGCTTCTTCCCCGTAGGGACCTGCTTCACCGGACAGCTCACATCCTGGACCAGAGGACAGAAATATCAGATGTGTTTCAGTGCAGGAAAAAGCAGGAGATGCTCGTCCTCTAAAAGACACACAGACAGACAGACACAGACACACACACACCTTCCTCTTCTTGTGACAGACTTTGACCAGCAGCACCTCCAGAGATACAGAGTTCTGCTCATTCTCACTGTCCTGAGACAGCTTCCCTGAGAACAGCACAACACAAACCAGGTCAAAACACTTCCTGTATCAGTGGAAGGAATATATATAGATGTATATATTTTAAAAAAGCCAAAAGGATGGCGGCTGAGAACTTACCAGCTTTATGAAAGAAACCAGTAAAGGTGAGCTGCAGGTTAGAGGCCAAACTGTGGGGAAAAACAACAACAACTTTAATCAACTTTACCTTTTAAAAACAGGTCAAATGTCCACTGGAGGTTCACATGGACAGCAGGTCTTAGAGCAGCAGTTATATTATTCAAAGAACTAAATTATATTCCAAAGTCTGGATTAGTAAGATTAGAAACTTTTGTCTTTATTGGAGCTACATTATTTTATGTGTTTTCCTTTAAATCACCATAATCTGACTGTTTCTGCAGGTTGGATTTAAAGCCTCATTCAGACCAGAAGATTCACAACGAGACGAGTTGAAACTTGAAAATGTTTGCAAGTTTCAACCCCGCCAGTTCGCACCAATGCAGGTAGTTGTGACGGAGTATCGCCTCCATCTCTGGACTTCCGCTGTAAACGGATTTTCAGACTTTTTCTGTAGTTGGACATAATTTCTAGTGCTTCAAAATATGAATGAGCCACGTCGGCTTTGTTTTGTAGTTGTTACAGATATGATCAACACTAAGTTTCCCTAAAAACACTTCTGCCATCTGACTGCTGGTGAGAATATATCACTATTATTATTTATACATACGTGATGGATGAAAATACATGAATATAACGTCCCTGTAAACAACAACAACATCACAGACAAACATGAAACATTAAATCTCTTTATGAGGACCGGATATTTTACCTGTGAGTCTCCTGTTCGCCTCTCATCTTTTCCACTTTGAACAACAGATTGTCAACCTTGGAGCTCTTCCTGTACATGCAGACAAACAGCGGGGGTTAACAACAATACCACCCAACAACAGATCCCTGTACAGGGGAAGAATTTCTATCAGTCCACTGACTAACATCCTCTGCACTTTTAATGGTCACTCTCCTGCCAGACAAGTCAACTGTATTATAATCCTTGTCTTGTTAAACTAAAGCAGATACTTCACATAAGATGAGATGCTTTAAATACTGTACAGACCAAATCGTGCAGCTTGAAACTGATTGTGTTTGAATAAGTTGCAAAAACACACAAATCTTTAAACAATAGAAGTAGTAATGGTTAAAGGCTGATGCCAAAACCACAACAAAGAAAAGCCGTGTATAATTATATTCTACAGGAAATTAGTCCAACAGTTTCCAACGACAACTTCCCAGATGGTTCTGTGTATCAGCTCTCCTGCTCACACAGGATCTGGTTCTCCAGATAAACAGTAAAATGTGTTTGTGAACAGATTTGAGGAGAGAAATAGTCAACAACAGAATCTGGATCCATATCTGATCAGCACTGTTTGACAGTTTGATCTGAGTTTGGTTGAGCTGGACGGACTCACTGAGAATGAGCTGTCAATCACAAGGTAGCCCCGCCCTAAAGCATACCCTGCTTTATGGTCTGTTTTACTCTAAATGGGACCATCAGTTACTAAATGAACATCATGCTGTATGGAAGAAGACTGAAACTAGAGACTGAGACCAGAAACTCAACAGGAAACTGTTTACTGAGGGAATAAATCAACTGAGAAGTCGGATTATTTCTCCATAAGACTGAATGGTATCAGTTTATATTGCAACCAGTGGAGCTGCCCCCTGCTGGCAGTTACAGAGAATGCAGGTTTAAGACACTTCACAGACCCAGAAGCTCTGTCCGTTATATAAACTGTCGATGTGCCATTCTGTGCGCGGACCTGAAGGTAGAAAGCCCACCTGGCTCAGATCAGCAGTGTGTCCGTGGGGGTTTTGGATTCACACACACACAGTTTGAGTTTGGTGACTTCACATAATTCGCAGTTCTGTCCAACTTCAACCTGAGCAGACGTCTAATGAGCCAACATAACTGGAAACACCTGCGAGCCTGTGCAGAAACCACCCTCACATCTTAAGCCCCTGAATCAACTAGAGTCCAATATCCGGCCAACGCACTGCATCGACCAAACACATGAAAGCTCTCAGTTCTGGTGCATTACTGCCATTATTCTACTGTTACTGACTGCTGGTGGACATGCTGTCGGCTGGGCAGCTTTTACATATGTAAAACATCAACAAGACAGGGAGGATAGGCTATGGACCCATTTAAAAAAAGCACTTTTGAAAAGACAACACAAGAAAGAAACTACTCTACTTGATCGCACTGAGCCTGAAAGATTACATTCATTAGAAAACATCAACAGCATTTAATCTAACTCATGAAATCTACTGTCTTTCTGTTTGTTTAGTTTATTCCAGGCTCTGTGAGCAGTCAATAACTGTGTGTGGAGTTTATTCATCTCAAATCACAAGCAGCGTTTCATGTGACTGAAGCATGCAACAGTGCAGCGGAAAGTGAAACTGAGCCGAGCTGCAGCGAACGCGTCACCGGGTTCACTGCCTCCGCTTCAAATCAGGAATAACATGATCTAACGGCTGCCACTTTAAGCCCTGAGCGAAGAACAGAAATTAGTGTTCATCAAAGAGGAAGAGTCCCAGTGTGATGAGAGCATGCCCATATAAGGACTCTACTAAACCTTATTGATTTTGATCGTAACAGAGATAAGCTGACAGTGTTTCACATATAAACTGATCAAATGACTAATGTTCCACAATAACTACGTTTTCTCTTTTATAAAAGTTTTGATTGATTTTAAAACTTCAAAATTAAAGAAAAATACTAAATAAGAGAATTAAGTTTCATGAGCTTTAAATTATTACATGAGCACTTGTTGCGCTGTAATACAGAATGTGTCCATTACTCAGTTAAATGTCATTTCTCTTTTCTTTTGCACATAAATGTAAACAAAAACAAACAAACAAACAAACACCTGCCATCTTGTGCTCCTGTTCACGTCGGAGGTTAACCACAGGTAAACCACCGTCATCAGGTGCTTCATTAGAAGTCTTTCGATGTCGCTGTCATTGTGACGTTTGAGTTTTGGTTCCATTTCAATCTTTTACTTTTCTGACAATAAAAACATTTCTACAAATGTCACTACCAGCGGTTCAGAAAGCTTTTGACTTTTTAAAAGACCATTATGAAGGAAATGTAAAACCTATTTCACGTCCAAACTGGTAATAAAAACATTTAATAATAAGTACAGAGGTGGTTTGCAGCTTTTGGTTACAAATGAAAAACTAATTATCACCTCCAAACACTCAACTTGCACCTACTTAGTGTAAATTTAATAATAATTAATAAAAATCATATTTATTCACCCTGAACTCAGAACCTGCTGAGCTTTAACAACCACGTGACAGCAGCAGACACTCTCTGTATTCAAACCCCCCCCCCATGTGTATTTTGCGCAGCGTCTGTATGCAAAGCAGCTCAACTGAAAAACGTCTCTCCTGTGATAGGAGGTTGGTTTTTTTTTCCTAACTGATCCAACCAGCCCACCGACGGTTTACTTTCAGTCCAGATAACACATGACCTGCTTTTCTATTTAACAGCAGGTTTCAATGCACAGAGAGGAGCGAAGACATAAAGAAAGACACCAAACACAAACTGATCGGAGAGCTTTTATCACAACAATCTGAAGGAATAGGTTTTATTTTTTACCTTTTGATGTTGTTCCTGGAGTTTCTGTGGGACATATAGGTGAGAGTCCTGTGCAGGAATATGGGCTGAAATGCAACAGGAAGAGATAAAACCTTGTGTTACAGATCTATTTCAACATGCTAAGAAATGTTTCCTCTCATCTCAAAAAGGTCAAGTTAATCATGTGACTGGGCTTCAGAGAGACACTCACAGCGATCAGGTTCCTGGTGCGGAGGAACCTGTAGATCTGTGTTGGTTCTGTAAATAAATAGAGTTACATCATCAGCACATTACTTTGTGTGTTATTCATCATTCAAATACAACGTTTGAAAGCTTCAACAAGAGTCAGGACATTTAAAAAGCACAATAAGATCAGTAAACTCAAATTCATTTAATTAATGAAGAACTTTAGCAAAAGTTATTTAACAAATAAAACTACCAAACATTTAAAGCTTAAAGGGGATCTGACATTTTGTAAACTCTATAATTGACTAAAATTGAATTAATAAATGATCTGAACATAATCCTTTTTACAGCAGATTGATTTAAAGAACATTTCATTTGCAGCTTAAAGTGGATTTGAACTTTACTCTTTCTAATTTTGACATTGTAAACTATTTAATTGACTAAAATGTAATTAAGCATTATTTGGGAGACTGTTAAAAATGAATTATTTGACTGTTTCCAATAAACTTTGATCTTCCAAGTTCACCTTAAATTAAAGACTCACACAACAACAAGTTATATAAGACCGATATAAAGTCTGACAGCACTTTAACAGCTGTAATTCACAGTAAAAGGACCCTGACTGTGGGTAGACTGAGAGAGTACAGTGTCTGTAGAGGACATTGTACAGCTGTACAGCTTCCTGTGACCTTTCATTTAAACTCCATCACTCAGATCTATTAATAAGCAACCTGACGACAGCAGGAACTCACTCTCGAAGGCCTGCAGGAACAACTCGTGGTCGGCCTGAATGAGCTGCAGGTTGGGCTTCTTGGCGGCTGCAGCCATCGCGGTGGAAGAGGAGGAGGAGGAGGAGGAGGAGGAAGAGGACTGGTGTAACCCGTTGGCTTTTCCCCCAGAACCAAAACCCACCGGATGGCTTCCACCTGAGGAGCTCTGCTTCTGTGGAGCCATTGTGCCCCCCCCCCGCCCCCCCCAACCCAAAACACACACAGCAACACAAACAGGCCGAAACAATCAGTCCCACTAGCAGATGTGAAGTCGTGTAAAAAAAAGAAAAAAAGAGAAAAGGAAGAAAGTGAGCTCGTCTTCCTTTGTGAAAACAAAAGAGCCGCGTCTGCAGAAAACCAGCCGGTTCCCACAAACAGCGGAGAATAAAAACTCTTTTATATTTCAGCAACCAGTGGAGACACACGCTGCTGTTCTCCTGAAGGAACCGGGGGAACCGGGAGGAACCGGGGGAACCGTCCCGGAGGTCGCTGAACGGGGCTGAAATGCGCGAAACAAGATTTCAGACTCCGGCAAGCTGACGCGGCTCGCTAGCTAACTGGCTAACTTCCTTAGCCAGTTAGCAGTGTCCCCCGGGCTAACTGGCTAGCATTGTCCGGCACTCTCAGCTTCACTAATGAGCCGCTCGGAAGCTGCTGCCCAACGACAGTCGGTTGTACGCACAAAGGGCACACGCTTTCAGAGGGTTCGATGCCATAACTTCACCAAAATCCGCATTATTTGTCGCCTCGAACGGAGCGCCAGTCGGCAAGTTGGGTTAGCGTCACTGGGAAACAGCGCGACGTAACACAGGCGTCATCCGGTCGGGATCTTCTGAATAAAGTTTAATTCAAATATAAAACAGTTAAAAAAACATGTTAAACTTAGTTTTTTAGTAAAACAAAAGCCGATATATAAAATATAAATACATCTCTATGGAAACACTGACTCCATTAAACACATATTATATCAAAGCGGTCTCTTAATCGAGTGTGTGCTTTTATTGTGAAGGCAGATTCCGTACGAGTTCCGTCTGCCTCGTGTCTATGTGCGACCCTTGACGGCTGTAGGTCGACGCTTCCTCTGTGACTTGTGTTGAAAGATCCCGCCTTCCGACCGCTCCAACCAATCAGCGCGCTTGTTTGTGAAGGGCTGCGCTGTGATTGGTGCTCGCGTTGTCCGAACTGGAGTAGGCGGGGCCGACAGCAGACACATTTGCCGCCTTGCTGAGACCGTGTCTGCATTATAATGTTTACTGTAAATAAGTTGTGTATAATATACTTTCACTCAGATTTTATCTTTTATCCTTGAAGGCAGATCATCACACTGCAATAATTTCATTCAATAATCATTAAAAATATAATAATTTTGAGACATCCACAAGTTAAAATGAAGTGTTTATAGCCACTAACTGATATTAATTGTTTATTCCCATGTATATATAAATATTACTATATAATATTACTAAATAACACCTTATTTAGTAATATAAAACAATATGGAGCTCTGACACTCACTGATTTGTCACCATTTAATCACCACAGAAATAGAAATGTTTGATTTTTATGAAGATTATTTCTCAAATACAAATCCATAAAAACAACCTTCAAACTATTAAAAATATAACGACTACTCGTGTGGTTAGAAGAGACGGTATGATCTCAGTAATCTCTCCTGATGTGGTCCCAGATTAGCTCAGTACTGCCAGCACACGACTAAACCACTGACCCGACATAATGGAGACTAAAATAGCTCATGAGCACACACACAGCACTTGAACCTACCACACACTGGTGAAATATGTCCACTGTGTTACTCAGCTGCAACAATAACTGACAGACAGACAGAGTCCAAAGCAAAGGAAATCACTGGCAGCATGTCTCCGCTCAGATCCTTTTTCACAGCAGCCCTTTTGACATGAAATAATAGGGTAAACATACTAATAGTGTAGCAGAGTTGGTCTTTTGTACAGACTTTAACAGCAATGTTACTCTGTAAAACAGCATATCTTAATAAATTGAGTGATATAACTTTATCCTCCATAAAAATGTGGAATTATTTAAATCTAACTCAAAAATTAACTGTTAGTAAATTAAATTAGTGCCATATTTTAAATATTACTGATATAATTCCAGTTTGTTTCATCGACTTATTTTCTTTCAGTTGACTTTATATCAAAAATGTAAGCGCGACTGGGACATAAAGTTTAGGATTTTATCCTTAAAAAAATAATATTATTTCAATTTATAAATCATCATAGATCCAAATAATTCTTAATAATCCCCCAAAAGTGCAAACATTTGATGTTAGTCGAGTAATTTCAACTTTTTGTTCAGGTACATTTATATAAGTTTAGATAAATGCTCTGTGATATTAGTTTTAAGTTAAATTTACTGAATGGAATTGGTAAAAGTAATTAATTTAAAAGTTACTTAAAATACTTTTACTCAAATCAAATATGTTTCATACTAAAATAGTTTGAGTTAATGAACTTAAATTGTTTCCTCACACAGTTATTTACTGTAATTCTTTACTCCTTTAATCACAGTAAGATTGTTGCTGTATTTTTACATAATCTTTTCCATCTAACAAGAATATTTTCCCTCTTGCTTTACACAGATTTTTGGCTGCAACAGCACATTAAATAAATATAAAACTGACTTATTTACCAGTAAAATACTAAAAACTAGGGCAGAATGTTCTTTCCTTTGTGGGTTTTCTGTTGACGGGGAACAAAGAGGTTAAAATTAAAACACAAACAAATGGGACAAAGAACAGCCTGGACTTAAATTCTGATTTATTATTCAAACATATTCCCTTTAATAGTAGCCATGGTAGTCAGAGCAAGTACACGAGAATGAAAGTAAGCAGGTACAGTAGTGAAAGTGACAACTTGATTTAAACGTTGGACCATTTTTCTGACATTCAGTAACAAAATATTTGGATGACAAACTGGAAACTGCGTCGGTAAAAATGTTAACGGACAAATTAAAAACACACACGTGAAACATAAAGAATAAATCACATAGAGGATGAATCCATATCCCAGTGTTTGAACTTCTTAACAGTGTTTAATGTGCTTTATCCAGGTCCGTCACTCACAAACCAGGAAAACTTACAGACCAGCAGCCAAAAGTGCAACCAGAGGGACGTCTGACACGAGGCATTAAAACCTATTAAAACCTATTAAAACCTATTAAAGACGACACAGTTTTACCTCAAAAAGTCCAGTAGTGGATAAAGTCGTTGGTGGGAAATGGTCCCTCCCCCAAAGTGACAAATCATGTAAACATCCGCCATCGTTTTCTAAGCCTGCCGTCTCAAGATCACAACTTAATTATTATGATGTTTTGTTTTTAACCTCCTGAGATCAATCTGAGTTCATTATGAGGCCGTTTTTCTTTTTAGACACAAATCTCAAAGCAGAGTTGTTTCCTACAAACTATCCAAAGTAGGTTTCAGCATGTTCCTCTCACCTTGTCAAGAAAGACGCGGCGCTGTAGTAAAAGTCTGAGTCAGGATCGAGTCCAGAAAAGGAACGTACTGTAATGCCAGCTGTTGATGGATTTTGAATCAATACCCATTTTCATCAACGGAGGAAGTTACATCAGAAACCATCTAGAATATTCAGCAAGACCAAATGCACAAGTCCGAGTCGAAAAACATCTCGAGACCGGACTCGAGTACTAAAGGACTGGAAAGAGGAATCTCGGAAGAGAACAGAGGAGAACGTTACATGATGACCTTCATTTGTTATTATAGAGAGAGATAATTACATCAGTATCTGAGGTTAATGGAGCCCTACAATCACATGATTCAGTTGTAAACATGAGAAAACAGTTGATCTCGAGGTCATTATGTTGTGATCTTGTGATAACAGGTTAAAAAACAACATACTAATCCAACAGAATCCAAAGTTTTCATCCTGAAGCGCTCAGAGAAAGTCTTCGCCCTCTCGTCACACACTGGGAAGATGTTTGAAATGAAAACACACTGACGTCCTTCAAGCTTGGCAAAAAAAGTGCAAAAGATGCCTCAAGAAGCTGTTATGATTTCGTTTTAGTATTACAGACAAACAGACACTGAGAGACGGACCCACAACCCGAACGGGTGCCGGATGAGTTTCAGAGACCGCATGTTGATGGAGTCCTTATGGAGCTTCGTTTCTCTTCCCATCAGTGCTCCTGACTTCATCTTCATCTGTTACTAAACACGCTTTGGAGCAGCCACGTAATCCAAACCGTCTCTCTGGCCAACATCAGCATGAAACTACCCTGGGAAACATGAGATATCCTGCGACGACACAACATCTAGCGGGTGCCTGGCCTCGGTCAAAAGGGGGCTCTCAGTGTTTTCTCCACAGTATGTAGGTCATCAGCAGGATGAGGCCTGCCGACAGGCCCGCGATCACAAACTGGTGGATGGAGAGGACGTTCTCCAGCGTGTGGATCCTCTCCTCCATGGCGCTGGTGTGGAAGTAGTCGTAGACGCCAGCTCCGATGCTCCACAGCGCCCACACGGCGTCCACCACCAGCGGCATGGCGAAGCAGACAGGGAGGCTCAGCTGCAGCAGATCAGATCTGTCAAAGACTGCGACAAGAACACAAGATTTCAACCCGGCACCGAGTAATCCCAGAGAGTCCTTTACACTGACAGAAACATACGCTTTAATGCTTTAATGCTTCGTTCACCTGCTTTATATCAGTGGGCTGGAAGATATGTTTTATATACAAAGATAAACCAAATCTATACCAAACTCAGGGCTGCACGATATGGTACAAATATTATAATGCCATTACGATGTTTCACAATTAGTGGGAATAATTCACAAGCTTAAATCGAAAAGAAAAACAGATAAAATTGTGATGATGTGACATTTTGTTGGAGTTGTAACAAACAATCAGAACAAAAATAAAATAAGTTTTAATAAAAAAATAAAAAGTTTTCTTAAATCTGGAGAACAACACTTGTAAGCCAGGGAATCTAAAATATGAATTATAATGCTGTTTGACACATTTTACATTTATTAAAAGAACTGCAGCTTCATGAAATTTGAATATTAACTGCGATTAACTGAGCAGCTTTAACAAAAATCACATGTAAAATATTAAAATTGAAGTAAAATAAGCTTAATCAATTAATCTGAATCATTCATTTAAACAACAAAATGTTTGTAAAACAATAGGAAAGAAAATATCACAATATTTTATTCTGTGATTTTGTATTGATGCTCAAAAAAACATATTTCTGTATTTTAGTGGTTAAACCTCCAAACATTGTTGGATGTTACAGAAACTTTTTAAAACTCAGATTTTAAGCACATGGTGCTGTGTTCTTAATAATAATAGTTTTAATTAAATCGTAATATATGTCCTAGCTCACAGTATCACAATATATCACCATACATTCATCATATAATCCTTTATACTGATTCACAGCCCCAGTTTGGTCACAGAGAACAGGTTCTTTCTTTCTCCACATTCAGCTTCAATCACTAAAACAAGTGTCAACTTAAACAACCTTGCATTATTTTCAGAGCCGAATTAAAGAACAGCTCACAATTACGTGTAATAAGTATTAATTGGTGCTTTTCCTAACATATAAACTATTTATCAGCACGGTGAAGGTTAATTCTGCATAGTTTTAAATACAATTTCGCCTGCGTGACTTTCAGCTTTCTGGAATATCTGTACAACAAACACACAATTATATCATTAACACAAACTCACATTTACAACACAATGAGGTTAATACGCAGATAAATAATCTAATAATCTAATAATCTAATAATCTGTAAAACGTTGTATAAATAAAATATCCTCGGCTAGCAGGCTAACGCTGAAGCTAACACACAGGCTTGTTTCTTCCTTCCAAGCTAGCACAGATTCTTTAAAGATGTCGTATTACTTACAGCATGAGATGCTTCCGGACACACTTTGTTCACACCAGACAACATGCAACTTTCACATCATCCTATCTGTAGCTACCATGTTTCTGGGAAAGACGGAATTCCCATCTGCCGTGAACCACTTTAGCTACTTCCGGGTTGTGTCCCGATCGAGATTCCCGTCGAGGTGACAGAGGTACGCCAAACTTCATTCAAAATTTGAGCGATTTTTATAAATTCACCACCCCACAAAAAATATAATTAATAAAACATCACCTAAAACATTTCATTAACCCAGAGGATATCATCGGGGATATTCGGCTGAAGATAATAATTCTGTCAATGTGTAGTTTGATTACAATGTGTTCACATCTCATCTGATCTTGGTAAACATTACGTGCTGCAAGACGGTCAAAATAATATATATTTTGAACGGAGTCTGGAATTTAGTCCTTTCAGAGTCGCAGCAGGTAATTGCAGAAACACTAATCACCCATCATACCAGGGGTAAATCACCAGAGTGTGCCCCATTTACATTGCCAGGCGCGGTGGCCAAGTGGTAAGGCGTCGGTCTCGTAAACCGAAGATCGCGGGTTCGAACCCCGTCCGTGCCTGTGACCTGTGAATTAAACCATGCTACTTTTTCGTATACCTTAATCTTGTGGATTCAATAATATCGACGAAATAACGCGACTGTTAAACACACACGGACATAGTTGATGTATTTTTCACCATTTTCAGCTTTAAATATCATAAAATATCACAAATCACATCCACAACAAAACAGTTGTGACTGAATGCAGCTCCTGTTGGAGAAAGTCTCTTATAAATCCACCAGAGGACACCAAAACAACATACCAGAATATATTCCATTACTAATGAATGCTTCACTGTAACTGCTGTGCGATAAAGAACCTTATTTATTTATAATTTATAAACCTAATGCTTTAAGGATTATTACTCTGATATTAGTCTACTTTTAGAGATGTTTGCACTGAGTCAATTGTCTGTCTGATCTCTGTGTACAACTTTCTGTCCATGTGGATGCAAACACAAAGCTGATGTAATAATACGTCTTAAAATTAGATTTTAGATAGATAGACAGAATACTTTATTTATCTCCGAAGGGAAATTATAGTGTTATAGCAGCTGATTCAGAGTCAGTTATTATTAGAAAGTCTTATTGCAGAGGGGGGGGGTCGTTCCTTAGAGCAGTGGGGTTGAATGAGTCTGTTGCTGAAGCTGCTCTTTAACTTTTGACGGTTCTTCAAGATAAAGTATGTCAGTTATTGTTATGTAGTGTATGGGTTAATTGTTTCCGTGCCAAGGCCCCCAAAATAGCATTAGTTTATGCTCGGGGGGCCCCCCTTTTGCAAAGTGTCTTTCAAGACACAAACAAGGGCAAAGGGAAAAACAACAACCCAGAATCCAACAAAAACAACTCCCAAATAAATGTTTTTTAAAAAACTTTTATTTTGTATCAGTTTGTATCAGTTTGTAGCAGATTTGTAGAAGTTTTTCTATTTTTGTTATTTAGCATTTCCCCTCATCTGGGGGCCCCACTTAGAAACCGGTTCCATTGTGCATATTCCCAAACACAATTTCTATTAAATGAGCACAAATCAGTTCATTCTCAGTAAGACTGGAGCTTCAGGAGCATCAGAGCAGTTGCACTTTCCCTGGTTAATGGTCCAGTCTTTTGTATATGTTAGGTGAGTACTGATTATTATTATGTACAGACATTGTCACTATAGGTTTTTATTAGATATTGGTGCACAGATGCATTTTAATCAACAAATCATCTACTTCACATAACGTATACACACATACATGTAATGTGGCTACACTGATTTCCATTGGCTGCAGAGCTTTATATTGCCTTGTTTGACATTATGACATTATGACATTACTCCAGCATGTCGTGTAAAGTTACAGTTTACGGTTAACAACTACCACGTCCCCATTGATTTCAAGCTCTGTGCTTTCCCAGTCAAAAACATTTCCTCTCTCTACTTTCTTCCCATAGAACATTTTTCGGATCGTGCTGTCTGAGAGGACAGTGTCCCACATATTGACATCACTGATCTCCCCAACAAAACTCTGTTTGGCGTCAAAGTTACCAAAGTATCTGTCCGAATCCTGTCCAAGGGCGACCTTGCCTCCGGCAAGGATAACGTGACCCTTCTTGTACATTTTGGTCAAGCTTTTCCTCCCGTCCACGAAGACGGCAGCCGTACCTGAACTGGAGTCCCAGGTGAAACACAGGTAGGTCTCCATGGGACCGAGCTCAGGAGTATTAAATAAAACACCATCTCCACTCAAGTAGAAGGACAACCTAAACACACATATATAAAATTAATTAGTATGCATCTTTTAAAACAGAGTTTCAGAAGGTTTAACAATGCAAAATAAAAATACATCAAGGTTTTAACACAAAGGAAATATAGAGCATTGGACTTGTTTGTCGTAATAGCAGCAGCAGTATTGTTAGTGTTAGTTTTTGCACTTGTAATAACAGAAGTATTCAGCAGTAGGCCTGGTGCTATTATTTGTTGTTTATTATTATTATTATTGTATATCTATGAATATCATATTAAATTTCTGCCAATAGAATATTTTTGTCATGAAAATTACAACAAAATTCAAAAGAATATGAATATCAAAATTCTGACATAAAAAGTACAAATTATAAGATAAAAAGTTGGTTATGAGATCAGAAAAGTGTCTACCTGCCGTCCAGCTCGCGCCACACATTGAGCTCATCAGAGTTTTCAGTCTGGTACGCAAAGAGGATGATCTCACGTTCACCGCTGAGCTCTGTGGCCACACGCATGCACAGGGTGAAGGCACTCAGATTGAGCGGTTTCAGAGGGGTCATCTCAACATAACTGGTACTGGTCTGAGTGGGGAACACCAGGGTCTTCCCTGAGAGGCAAGAAAATGTACAGCAACAGCAAAAACATCTGTATTTAAGAGTAGTCTGTTGGGGTCATAGATGATTGCAGTACAGAGAGAGATTAGCACACATTTTCTGACACCTCTTGTTTCCATATCATCTAATTTCCCATTATATATATATTTATATATTATAATTAGATTGTGGTTGGATAAATGTGCACATGTTGAAAGGAAACCTGTCAATCTGCTGCCCTAAATGTAATGCATCTACATAATTACCTACAATATTTTCCCTTTTATTCTTATAGAAACACCGAGGCGGTCTACAAGAAGGGCCAAAGCCGACTCCTTTTCTTGAGGAGGCTGAGGTCCTTTAACATCTGCCGGATGATGCTGAGGATGTTTTATGAGTCTGTTGTGGCCAGTGCGATCTTCTTCGCTGTCACATGCTGGTGGCAGTGGGCTGAAGGTTGCAGACAACAACAGACTAAATAAACTGACCAGAAGACTCCTCTCACCCAGATGCACCACAGAACGCCACAGGAAATCATTCCTGCCTGTGGTCATCAAACTCTACAACGCCTCCCTCAGAGAGTCAGACAAAGTTGCACTTTTTGCACATTTCAAAGTGTGATTTTAAACTGTACATTTTAACCCTAATATATATATATTTTTATATATTCTTAATATATTATATGTCTATTACATCTGGAGCATGTAATGAAAGTAATTTCCCCCTGGGATTATTAAAGTATTTCTGATTCTGATTCTGAGTCTGATTACTGTAAAGATGTTTAATCTATGTTCGTGTCTGTTAAAGGGAGACTATTGTATTCCTCTGGTGCTGCACAGAGTTAATAACATTTGAGTAAAAGTCATATACAGGGATTTACACTGCAAAAACAAACCAAATATTCCTAAATATAATCAAATGTTCTTGTATTGAACAACAACAATCTGCCAGTGCGGTAAGACAAATTGTTCTTGGCCAGAATTCTTAAAAATCTAGAAATAAAGGTTGAGCTCAGTGATTTAAGCAAATAAAAAGCAGGGCTAATAAATGAAGTGTTACGGTAATTTGCTGTTTTTTGCTGGAAAAACGACTTAAACAATAAACCACATATAAAAAGAATTTATAGTAATTCATTCTTTGGAAGTAAACAATCCCTTAAAAACCCACCAGGTCACTCACTTGAGTGAGTTTTAAACTGCTTAGAAAAGAATTAAAGGCTTTTCCCAAATAAAGGTTTTACGGTACATTCCTGTTTTTGCTGGAAAAATGACGTAAACAATTAAACGGTTATAAAAGTAGTTGCAGATGAAGTTTCTGTTCTTATTATTTAAACTTTAGTCAGTGTATTCACCTGTACGGTTCCAGATAAATGATCTTAAATTAAAAACAAAACAATACTTTCAGACATGCACATAAAGACACAAAGGAGAGGTTTAATATATAATTACCTGCCAGCACCGTGGAGACGGCACTGAGAAAAAGGACGGCTGAAAGTTTCATTTTGTCTAAGCAACCTTCAGAAGATTTATTATTATTAATTTCATGAATCATGCAATAATAGTTTTACATGTAGGAAAGGTTATTTGAAGGTAGTTCAATGAAGCTGTATACATACTGTACCGCTGCGAAGGTCCTGTTACAGACAGTCTGAACTGGAGGTTTTTATAATGTGATTATAAAAACTCCTCCCCATTAAATAATACTGAAATGCAAACAACAGCATCCTTCATCCTGCAGTCGTACTTGTGTAATATTCAGACAAACAGACTAGATTGGATCACATCACAAAGTCCAGGTATATTGAACAAGGCAACTTCCCAGCAAAAGGTTGAGGACAACAAACACCCGAGGGGAGGAATGTGGGACAGGGTTGCTTTTAAAGGCCCTTTGTAAAGACCAACAATGATCACAAGTTATTGATAAGTACTGTATATCCAAAGCTTAATGTGTATTCTTGGGGTACATTTTTGCTCACAAGTCCAGCTAAAGATGATCTCTAAAGTTACGTCAAACGCTTTCATTTACTCTCGGCTTCATTACTGCAACGCACTTTATCAGCCGGGACTTCCTCCAACTTCTCGTCACAGTTATTTAGTGTCATTAAGTTCCTGAACTGTTCCTGTCAGTCCATTCCTCTGAATCTGTGCCAAATTTAAACTTAATTCTTTATCTTTATTTCAGCACTGTATCAATAACACACATGTTGTCAGTCTCAGACCATTTCATGTATTTATTTAAGGTTTTTAAATGGAAGATTTGCCTTCTTTGTAATAGAGGACTTTGCATTAAGACACTTCAGCTGGTTTACCAAAACTGTATTTATTTACTTGATTGACATTCTGGGTCATAATATGATCAAAAATACAAAAAATAGAGTGAGAGACGGTATTTTTGTCTTCTAAAGACTCAAATGATGCCAATTCTTCTTTTGTTATGTGTGAAATATAAAAATGTTACAAGGGCTTGAATAAAATGTGTATTATAACTAACATGAAAACTATTACAGCATAAATAAAAGGCTTTCCGGAAAATATGTTTTGAGAAGTGATTCAATTCAAAAATCTGATTAGTAACATCGGGGCCCCCCAGGGAACTGTACTGTCTCCCTTCCTCTTCACCAGCTACACTGCAGACTTTAAGTACTGCACTGAGTCGTATCATCTGCAGAAATTCTCTGATGACACGGCTATCGTGGGGTGTGTTGAGAGTGGGAGGGAGGCTGAGTACAGGGACCTGGTTGACTGCTTTGTGAAGTGGTGTGGGGAGAACCACCTGCAGCTGAACGTGGCAAAGACAAAGGAGATGGTGGTGGATTTCAGGAGGAACAAGCCCCTGCCCTCTCCTGTCAGCATCAGCGGGACCGATGTGGATATGGTGTCGGTGTATAACTACTTGGGTGTCACACTGGACAATAAACTGACCTGGTCAACAAACTCAGAGGCCATCACAAGAAGGGTCTGAGCCGGCTTTACTTCCTGAGGAGGCTCAGGTCCTTCAATGTCTGCAACAGGATGCTACAGATGTTCTATCAGTCTGTTGTGGCGAGCACCATCTTCTTTGCTGCGGTGTCCTGGGGTGCGGGCATCCAGACAAAGGACGCCAACAGACTGAACAAACTCATCAAAAAGGCTGAATCTGTTGTTGGCTCTTAGCTTGTCACCCTGGAGGAGGTGGTGGAGGAGAGGATGCTGGCAAAACTGCTGGCAATCATGGACAATCCCTCCCACCCCCTCCACACAACACTGGACAAGCTAAAGAGCAGCTTCAGCAACAGACTCATTCAACCACGCTGCTCTAAGGAACGATACAGGAGATCGTTCCTCCCCACTGTTATAAGACTGTATAACTCATCTGCCTCTGTCAGATCCACAATCACAGAACTGGACTAAATCTACCTGTGGAACATATACTTCATTTTATACTATCATATGTGATATGTTTTATTGTTATTATTGTGTGATATTAACCATGTTGATATTATATATCATATTTATGAAATATTTTATTATTATATTAATAATATTATATTATTATTACTACAATTATTATTATTATATAACAATATATAACAATTTATAAGATATTATCTATTGTATGTATATCTTCTTGTATAGTCAAGTATCTATTATACATATGCTATATATCATATCACATCCTGTGTATATATATGTGTGTACATATTATATATATATTGTGTATACATATTATATACAGTATGTATGTATGCACACATGCACATGTTTACATTATATCAATATTAATGTTTAATATCTATGTGTATACATGTATATCTGTTCAGTCATCATATTATATATATATACATATTATTATTATTATATTATTATAAATATTATCATTATATACTGTTATTAACAATAACACTACCATCATGTCATCAGTACTATTACCACCATCTTGCAACTGCAACTCTTTGCACCTACCTACCTATTTATCTTTTTTTATCTTTTCTATCTAAGTATTTTATTCTATTGTATTTTATTGTATTTTAATGTACCTGGCTGCTATGACGACCCAATTTCCCTCTGGGGATTAATAAAGTCTATCCATTTATCTATCATATAGAGAGAGTGAGAGCGTGTCAGGCGGGGCTTTTATAACTGGGAAACACCGGGCCCAGGTGCTTCCGGCTATGCCGATTGGTCCAACCCACAAGTACCTGCTGCCTTAAAAGGAGCCACTGAGGGGACCGTCACACCCCCCTCCATAAGAACGGGGTCTTGAAAGGAATCCCGACAGAGAAATCTAACAAAAGATTTACCAATATAACCAAAATACTCTCAAAAAGATAACACATACTGTAGATTACCAACATTCTGTGTTAACAAGAAAAGCACAACATCAGAGGTGAAATATTGGCCCGCTCCAACGGTCCAACATCCCTTGCAGCACGTTCCTGCCCCAGCAACCAGTGCACCTAGGAAGCAGTTTAAGAGGCTAGGAAGAGGCAAGAGGAGAACCAAACACAGGAAAACAGTAAAGGTATCACACCTTCAAACGTCAGTCTGTCCAACTATGCTGTGAAGATAGTGACATGGTGGCTAAGGCTAAGGCAGTAAGGATGGATCACGACTACGTGACACACCCACCTGCAGGTAAGATTGTTCATAATGTTTAGTAGGCTAAGTTAACGCTAGTCAACTATGTGTACCGTTAATGGATAAATGCATTTCTAACTGAACAACTTCATATTTCTATATCATGAAATTCAACTAACGTTAGCCTACATCTGTAACATTTCAATTTGACACGACATGTGATTACTGCTCTGTGTTATGTTGAAAGGTGTCATAAATATGTTAAGACTGGTTTTTAATTTCTTTACCTTTACAGGTGCTCTGGATGACGCGTTAGATTACATCCATGACATAGAAGCCATGTTGCAAAAGACCGACCTACCACCCCCTACTCTCTTCAGTAGTAGTCCACTATGCCCCTTAAATTCCAGAGGTATTATCCCAATGTCAGAGTGATACTGGACTGCACAGAAATTGCCCTGGAGACAGCCTCATCCCTGACCTTACAGTCAGAAACATTTTCAAACTACAAAAACAGGACAACATTGAAAGGGCTGATTGGAGTTGCTCCCAGTGGTTTGGTGACATTCGTCTCACCCCTGTACACTGGGTGCATCTGGGAGAGATCACCAGGATCAGTGGAGTCCTTCCCTTGCTGGAGCCAGGAGACGATATCATGGCAGACAAAGGGTTCCTCATTCAAGACCTCCTTGCTGACGTTGGAGCTAAACTCATCATTCCACCTTTAAAACGTTCAGCTCAATTCAGCAAGGAGGAAACGGAACAAACCCAAGCCATTTCCCGCCTCAGAATAATAGTGGAGAGAGTGATCCGTAGGGTAAAGTCCTTTCACATCTGGGACTCTCCCGTGCCCCTCACACTGATTGGCAGTGTGGATCAGATCTGGCTTAACTGCTGTGTTCCAGCAAATTATCAAGGACCTTTTTGTTTTGAAGAGTGAATGAATTAACGTTTTGTATGTAAAGAATGTATAAATAATGTGTAAACAGTTTAGTGTTCACACATATTCTTAAACATCAAATTAAATGTAATTGTTATATTCTTAATATTGAACAATTAAAACAATTTTGTTGAAAATGATGCATCCTTTATTTTTTTTGTATGTGTAACACATATTTATAGTTAGTTTATACTCTAAACCACCTTCTGTAAACCAACTGTATACTACTGTCTACACTGCACTATATTTCTTGTACTGCCTGTCTATACTTTGTATATCACATTGCACTTCTGGTTAGACGCAAACTGCATTTCATTGTCTTTGTGCTTGTACTCTGCACAATGACAATAAAGTTGAATCTAATCTAATCTTATCAACTGATTAATAACTGATTAATAACAACTGATTCAATCAATAACAATAACAAACATTCAAGGCAAAACTGATTGGTAAAGACAAGATTAGTGGAATTCAAGGTATGCATTCATGTACATGCCATACTAATATATATCTAACTTCGCTTTCATTTCCGCTATGAATGAGTCATCACGGCAAATTCTTTCCACAGTTAAATTTGATAGGGTATCGGTAACAAAGTCACACCATGCCAGTCCTGTGATTGCCAATTGGCCCTGAACCTGCCAGTAGTATTTATGTGTACGTCTCAGACTCCTCAGGTGAGCAACCTGAGAAGGATCATTTTTTGGGCTGCTCTTCACCTCAACCAGGCCAAAAGGAGGCGACTCTGAGATGTGGTGCGTCAGGGTGAATGATGAAACCTGCTGGTAACACATTACATTGCATTATTTCAGCATAGTTTGCCAGCACTTCAGGCTCCACCAGCAGACCACGCTTCATCGCAGCTGTTTGCATTGTGGAGCCTCTGATCATGTGAACAGCTGCAGACTCCTGCTCAGCACTACCCGCCCTACTACTGCAAACATCCCGAAAACGACTGGCAGTCAGCCTTGGTCGCCGTAGTTGTGTCCACGCAGGACATTTGGACTGCTGCCGGGTTTCTTCTTCTATCTTGCTGGACAGCTCTGGTGACACTTGAAGAGACTCGAGATGCATTAGCTGATGTAGTGTCGGGACGAAATGCAAGGTGCAATGCAAGGTGTGCTGCATCAGTGGAAGGGATGGA